GAGATACATTTTCCCAGTCATTTCGAGAACTTTAGATTTCATACCCGCTCCCCCTCCCCCCTCCACCTCCACAAGCACAGGGGATATTTTTCACCCTCGAATTCGGAATCAGCACCCGCGAAAACCTCCGAGATCCATTTCTCCAGTCATTCGGAGAACCTTGCAATCCACGTGCCTCCCGCGCCTCCCAGGCGGCCGGAAATCGCCCCCCGGGGGGTCGGGTGGACTGGATATATGCATATTCGAATTCTGCGCCCCCCAAAACCCCCGAGTACCAATTTTTGCGGTATTTCGTGCACTTTGGCAAGTTTCTCGGATGCGATGCACTTCTAGATGCACTTTATGCACCCGCGATGCATTTCCGCCACTTCCGGATAATAAAAAAGGCGGGACTTTTTTCCGACGGTCTTTCTGAACAAAATGCAAAAAACCGCATTAAAATCGGACCGGGCCGCGAAAATCTAGATATTTTTCTCTTTATTGCCTGGTCTATAAGGCACTATTGCATTCGCTAACTGTCGTCTTCAAAACAATACCTACACATAGCCGCTGTGATCGGGTGTACCTACCATATTTACATAAAAACATGTACCTACAATCAACCGAAACATATTTTTTGCTATAGCACTGTTCGCGCATAAGTTTGTGATACCTACTTTTGTTGTTATTTTACACCATGTCCATTCCAGTCATTGGCTTCTTTTTCGCTCCTGTCAAAGTAAAGTAGGCCAAACCCTATATCGACGTATTTCCCTTCAAAAGGACTATCCATTTATGCTTAAAAAATTAGGTAGTGCTATTTAAAAAAATTTTCAATGACGTCATAGGTTTATGAAACATAGCGCAAAAAAGGTTTAACCAACGTGACAAAATGACAATTCCTATTTACTAATTGACGCGTTTTAGCGTTTTTGTGAAAACGCAACACATAATAAAATACGAATTTTTTTGCGTTCCTTCTGGGGCACACTGTATATTATCGTTTTATTGAAGAATGTTAAAAAAATATTCACATATTAATACCATACGCATTTCTAAGAAAAAGCAACTATGTAAAAAAACGACTAAGAACATTCATAGGTAGGTATATTCACAAAAAATACATAACAAAAAAATCATATGTGCATTTAAGTACCGTAATCAAAGCAAACATAAAAGTAAAATGTTTAAACTCTAAAAATCTCTAAACAAATAATCAACAAAAATCAACAAAATTATATTTATCTGATTGTTATTATAAAGAAAACAATACGAGTAAAATAAAGCTAAGCTTAGGCTAAAAAAGGTAACTAAGTTCCACCAAGGACAACAATGTGTAAAAGTACAATATAGTACTTATATAAATAGTTTATAAGTATCATAACAAATATTAATTTCGTTAAAATAACATAATAAGTAGATTAGTATAAATATATTCTATCAAATATATCTACTCCAGTGATTTATTTAATATTTATCACATCTAGTTTTATTTTAAAGAAAGGGATCACAATTTTATAAAGTAAGTTCATTTAGATATTAAATACGAATTAATCTACCATAAGTTTCTTGAATGAACCATCAATACCGATTCCCAACTCTTCATTCATTTCTGACACCAGTGGACAAGATTTTTCGTCAATTTCTATATACATGTCATCTAGTGCAAGTATTTTTTCACGTTTTTCCTTTAATAATGTTTTAAACTTCTCTAACATTTCTTGCATAGGTATCTCTCCGCCATATTCTTTAGGGAGAATTTTCTTATCAATTTTTTCATGCATTTCCTCAATCGACTTGTACATCTGTAATAATAAAAATACTAATTAAATATAAGTTTATTTAGTTTTTTGTTTTAATAATTGATAGTCATACAACACAGAGCTGAACATATTACAATATGTGAGATGAATTTTTCTTGTTATTGTTATTTCAGTGTCTTTCTACGTCGGGTGTCGAATGCGGTTAATTCCAAGAAAGTGGCGTATGGGTTTTCTTGGAATTCTATGTCAACAAATATCGTACGGACTGTACTTACTAATCATAAATCAATAAATTTCTAACTTCACTACAAATAAAGATCGACCTACCATTTTAATGTTTTTTAGTCTCAGACCTAAGCCAACTTTATGTTCTCAAAATTTGATTATATATATCGATACTCTTACATTCAGGGCGCAAATAAATAAATACGATAAAATTAAGGATGTGATTCCTCGTTAAAAATTAAGGGGGTTCTTTCATATAAAAAACACTCCGTTCTCTTCAAACGTGGGGGAAAATTTTAGTCTCTATTTGTTTTCTTTAAAATTTTTTTACAAAAATTACAATTCTCAAATTACGTATACTTTTTCTACTATCTAAAAGTCACTTATTTTGATAATTCCTTATCTTCTCATAGAAATAACTACGCTTGATAAGTAATTTCCTGCTAACTTTTTTTGCATAGCCTTTTTATTAATAATACTTATTTACATCTTATTTACAGAGTGTCCCATTTAAGACATGAACGATGAAATTTTCAAATCTAAAATGAACTTTGAAAATGATATAACGTAAAAATTACCTAAATATTAGAAAAAAATTACAATAATATGTAACCAAATTTCTTGTCATAATTTTTATGAAAATATTATACACGTAACCCTAAAAACGCGTAGGACCAGTAATAAAATAACGAATAAAATGAAAATATATATAAATTATTAGAAAAAGGTCTACAATCATAATTACTGACTTCAATAATAATTTGCTGATCATATAATCGAATACGTTTCTTAAAATTCTCCTCAAAAAGCTATGAAGAATTTCACGTATAATATTTCTAAAAGCTTGCTCCTTCGATTTTGCGTATCTTACATTGTGGTAGACAAAAAATTAATTGTATTTGCGCCCAGTAGAGAAAGATAGGTTTTGTTAGATCATTAGATCTAGCTGATCAATTAATGGGCCTCATCGAATCCATCAATCCATTTATGGAGAAAATATTTTTATTATTGGACTGAACTAGAAGAGATCAGCAGTTATTGTCACACAATTACATAGTTATAAGGTAATCAAGATGTGCTGAATACAATACAAACAGATCAAGAACAGACCCTTGCGGTACACCAGACCGTACCGATGCAAAGAAGAATAACCTGATCCGACATGATTAGACGACGTTCTACTCGTATTGCTTAAATAACTTTGAATATTAGTTCTAGCTACATCTACGAATTTTCAAATGATCAAGATTTGGAGAATTCTAAGTAAAGAATATCGACATGATTCCCACAATCAAACGCAAAGGACAACTGATCTGCTTAATAATAGATTATGAATTCGGAGAAATTAATAATTTGAGCCACTATAACACCTTCAAGAACTTAGAGAAAATTGAGTTTCAAGCTTATTTGTCGATATTGTCGGTATTTGTTTTATAGTTTTTTTATATAGTATATAAGTAGCTACCAACAAGTCAGATGGGAGAGATGACGTAGTTAGGGAAAGCTAAAACATAAATATAAAGGCTTAGATAAAGAGGAAGCACAGTATTTCAGTTGAAATAAAGGTCCAAAGATCATCGGGTTCAAGCGCCAAATATTCACCAACGTTATTGAAATGCTGCTGCACATCATTCTAATCAAAAGTTATAGATTGAAGAGTATGCTCCTGTTTAAAAGTAGCAAATGCTGAAATAGGATCGAAGGGTCCTTCGGTAAATACTATTTGAAAAATAGTGGTTAAAACTTTCGCACACTCCAGATCAGAGCCTTAAAACAATTTTTCGACCCCTATGTACAAAATTGAGTCAGTAGCTTCTCTTTGATAATAATTCAATTTCTATTTGTAGAACATTAAAGAAATTTCCATCAGTAGTAAAGATGATTTGCAAATTGGTTAAATTCAGCCGCCTCCAGAGTATATTTGTAATTTTGCCTTTAACTATAAATTCGCGGTAATCCATGTCTTTTTTTTATTTTGAGTAACAATTTTATATCTCGTGCATATCAGAGCTCACCACATACAAAAATGATTGCCAAAGCGAATTTAGAAAATTTTGACAATCTGTTGCCTTTTGGAAAATCATACAGTTTCCCAGTTGGATGTTGCGAAAATTGAAATCGCCAAAAATAATAAAATTATTAGTGAAACCACTAAGTTCCTGTAATTTATAGCAAGCTATTCATCACAATTTATAACCGTGTTTGGAGGAGGATATATGGAAATTAAATATAAAGATATTTTGGATTATATAGAGAGCCTTCATAAACGATTACAAGCCACATGACCAGTAATTTTGTTTGGAACAGTAATTTTATTTCATTCAAATCCATAAAGAATACCCTTGTCTATGCAAAATCCATAAAAAAGTCTTATGCCCATTAGATAGAACATCGCCTATTTGAAACCATTGCCATATAGTTTTGCGGAAGATGATGAGATCCAGAAAAAAATTAGGAGACATGAAGCGTTATTCCTTTCAGCCTTTTAAGGTAAAGGATATAAAATAAAATACTACTTAAACTTACAAAAATCCTGTTCTTGAGTTTTTCATTCAGCAGAGATACAGCAAATTCTATTAGTTTAATTGCATTAGAAGATATGTTCAAAAAATGATTAGCCTTATGTCTCATTGGAGTAGTATTCTGAAACAGAGTCATATTAAAACTTTAATTAATGAAATCAGTAGGGCTATAGTAAAATAATTTGTCAAATTTATTGAAATAATGTACTTTATCAAATTCATTATTAATAAAATTTATGGAATTTTAATAAGGTATTAAATATTTAAGACGTGGAATAGAATGTAAAGGTTTACCTGGATACATCTCAATATATTTCTGACGTCAGTAAGAGACCACAAAGATATGTGAGCCATCTGAAATCCACTTTCGTCGTTTATGTAAGTATACCCATTTATTTGGTTGACCTCATCATCCATTAAAGCCTCAGTAACCAAACTGTGCACTCTGACCATATGTGCTGATGTGTATTTATGAGGATCGAATTTTCCAGCACAACTAAAAAGAATTTGCCTTCCATTATCCCTTTCTAGAAGTGGTACTAAATATCCAGAATTGATAATGTCAGCCAAGTCTGGATCTTCACAATCTAAATTGCGGAACCATTGGGGATAGAGCTGACGAATGGTCAGATAACGTTCTAACATCTCACAAGATTGAGGAACACTGAACTTTTTCGTTCTTAAGAAACGAAGAAGAAATGGAGCGTCTGAAAGATGGGAGACATGATACATAACTTTTAACTGTTGATTTATTTACAAATAAAAATAACTAAAACGCTAGGTCAAATTGCAGCAATCCATATTGGCGTAAGGGATTATTTATTGAAACACTTTCAAATATTTTTAAATAATATAAATTATTTTTCTATTCAGTGTGGCAATAACAAATTAAACAAAATATTATTATTATTCATATTTGGTTCAAAATATTTGAAATTTGGTAGTCGAAATTATTTAATAAATAAAGTGGTTATCTACTTGAATTATTATTTCCAAAATAATTTATCCTCTTCTATTATTCTAACCTAATAGTGAGTCAAACTTGAAACAAAAATGAATTTAAAAAACTCAAGACTTAGATGTCACGTAGAGGGCGGTGATATTAAGGATGATTAGGTACATCAAAGTATGCCTTGACCAAATAAAAAATCGGAGCGTTCAGACTGAGCGTTTTTCTTTTTTCTTCAAATAAAAAGTAAAGGGGACGTAATACTTAATCCTCACATCATACAGATTTATTTAAAACTAAATTAAACGTTGCAGAAAATAAGTTCTAATAATAACAAATTCTGTCACTAGACAAATACTGTCTTAATGTGTTGTTTAAGTAAATGGAATTCCCCTAAAAACTGATTACGGTTTGTAAAATTTAAAATATAATTAGACCCTACACTGATTTTTGTTTAACTATTACATTAGCATTTAGCAATCAACAAAAATTAATACGGGGCAGAGAATAAAAAACACATCATCTTGTTGATAATAATGACAAATATCCTTGTTTAACTTATCTTCGTCTTAATTAAATAATAGTATTTATTACTTATTATTTATTAAATATTTTCACGCATTCAAGTTAATCATGTATTATTAGATTTCGAACCAATTATGTGGTAAAAAATTTTAATAGATTGATAATATAAGTACATAACAAAATGTGGAAAGCGGAAGAAAGTTTATTACCTAGTTCGATTATCATCATGAATATATATGTATATATCTACCAAATTTTCGAATTAAAAGTTTAAATTTACTTACCAGTCCGACATTTTTTGATATTTGGATGTTTGTTAATCCAATCGCGCATCTGGTCCAAAGATTGTTCTCTAGTACTATCATCTTCCCTAAGTTCTTCAAGGGCCCTTTTTTTTTCTGTTTCAGGCAAATCGAAAATGTAATCTTGCACTTGTTGTCCTCCCAAACCCATTTTGTTATCTGATAACAATGAAAATATTAATTTAGTAATGTAGGGGGTCATAAAATTAGAACGTGTTAAGCACTTTCAATACCTATTACGGATTAGGTATGTTACAAAATGAGCTTGGTAATAAATACCAAGTGGCACACTATTTTATTTTAACTTTAATGAAGTGAATCTTCTCATTAATAAATAACTCACGTAATATGTATGCATTTATGACGCATATGTGGGAATTTTATTAAATTATTCACAGCTCAAAGAAAATATGAACAGGAAAATTTTTAAAGCGGAAGCTGCGATATTATTTTTCACCGTCTTATTGATATTAACAAATTTCGAGAATATGGATAAAAAATTATTAAGTAAAGTCAATTATTGGTGCATTTTTCATCCAATCAATCCGGACTCAAAGACTTTTGCGCATTTCTGTTTATGCCTGAATTTATTTGAAGATGACACGAAAAATTAAATTGAAGAAATATATATTTTAATTAGTGATACATTAAATGTGTCAATATATTGTCATATTCGTATTTCTTCACACATCAAAAGTGAACTACAAAGAGAAAATAATATTTACTATTAAGTATTTGTTTTCTAGCGAACTAAGTATTCTCGAAAACAATGAAACGATGCACAATATATACAAATTAGGACTTCTATTGAATATTGTAACTTAATTAATATAATTTGAAATCCCTTGAGACTTGTAACAGACCGTGACAGATTTACCAACAATTAAAGGGATATTGGCAGTAATAAATAATTGACAAATAGACCAGCCATTTGGGTCCGATCGGCTATAGAAAAGTACACACAAATATAAAACATTATTTTTAATAAAAATTATTTGTATTATGTAAGTGGTGTGTTATGTTAAGTATATGAAACCTATATCATGACCACCGTCTATTGTGATGTGCTTCGAAACTGTCAATAAAAGTTGACATTTATTTGGTGTCAAAACAGCAGTTTTTTGTATACAGAATATCCTGGATTTAAAAGACTTTTACATCTGCCTACAAAAATCAGTGAAATTATAGATGATGTATCAATTCACCCATTTATTTATTATTATCAACAAAATCATAAATTATAACAATCATTTAATTATTATTTTCAATCAATTTAACAGATAATCAAGGAATATTTGATACTAAAATATGTGCGGTAAATTTTAGACGACATAATATAATGTCACAGTTTTCGAAAAAAATGTTGTTTGATACCCGATTGCGAAATTCTGTTGCATTCTCAAATTCGCTATCGCTCGCAAAAAATTTTCATTCTCGAATACAAAAAAAGCATTTCGCAATCTAGCATAAAAAATAGGTAACTATTTTCATATTTCATTTACAGCTATATTTTTTCCAAATATCTTCTGCGCGCACTGGTTTTTCGTATTTTTTATTTTCAATAAATATTTAATAAATTAATAATTTCAATAAATTCGTCGGTTCTAAATATACATGTGTTTCATTAAAAATGGAACACAACATTGAGATCAAAATAATAAATACCGCCAAACGCGCGTAATAAACAATTTTTTCCTTTCAATTCAGAGGATGTCAAAACTTAAAAATAATTTCAAATTTTAAGTAATATGTATTTCCACCAATTCACTAATTTAACAAAAAATTTTAAATGTCGTGTTTATTAGAAAGAGAGTTTAAAAACTATAGAGCTTTCATGTATTATGAATACAAGCCACGTGACAAGTAATTTTGTTTGGAACAGTAATTTTATTTCCTTCACGTTGGCAAATAAATTTCGGTAAAATTAAAACAATAACATCAAGCTTACATTAAAACACAATATTCTATTTCATCGGTTGACATTGGTGTAATTTTTCACGAGATTCTTGTTAGACCAATCAGCGATCGCATTATCTCGAGCGTAAACGTAATTATAAGTCATTGTTCAATGGAAAGAAATCATTAATATTGGTGACGCCAAAGGAATTTTCATTACCAATCATGCATTGTTGGGTTGCCAAAGCTCGGCGGTTACGTGGCTTGTAAACATTTATGAAGGCTTTGTATACATCTTATGTTCCTCCTTCGCAATGAATAAGTTGAGTCAAGAATATGTGTTTAATTTTGATTAAGAATCATGAGTCAGATGAAAATTAACAGTTTTTTAGACAAAAGCGATTTTTTTCACCGTACATGAAAATCGCCTTTTATCTCGAAATTTATTTTTTTTTTAACTTCAAATGTATCACTTTTACTCAAAATTAATAAAAATTTGTCTGTATCGATAAAACTGTGTAATGAGTAGAGATCGGAAATGTTCCATTCGTGCGAATAGGATCGTACGGGCTAAATCGCGGAACCAAGAAAAGTAACGTATCTAATCTAACCGAAACGCTTCGCATCGATAAATTTATTTAATACGTATCTAGCGATACCCTAATGCCTGCCTTGTCGGCTCGTATATGGATGCGTGTGAGATTGACGCTTTGCTTGGTCAAGTATATGGCATGTGTTTTTGTAACAGTCATTAGAATTGTGTATTGTAAGCATAGAGCGGCACACGGCTTAACCACAGATTTACTTTACTTACTAGTATAATATAGAACCAAATGAGCCACGTCGTATTCATACACTGCACGAAATGAATGATTTCTACGTCCATGTCTATGATGTCCAAGGTCTATAATCATTTGAACATTTCTGATTTGAATATAAGAGAAAATATGAGAATAACCTTTCAAATCATTCATCATTATCTCTCATGAAGATGCAATATAGTATAGCTACAGTTCTAATCTTGCAATAGTAATTGTCAAGAGTTTCGAAGTTGCACCTTTTCTAATTTTAATCTCAAACAAATTGTATGTACCTACATATTTTCTAAAAACATTTACTCTTCAAATGTATCTACAGATTATTTTAAACTGTCCTTTTTATGAAACATATTCAATGTACTTAATAAATAACGATATAAGTTACGAAATTATATTTATTTAATTAAAACTACTTTTCTATACAGGGTGATTCACAGGGCAAGTAAAAAAAATCTGAGGAGGCTATAGTAGATCATCCAAAATTCATCATCCAATTAATTTTAATGGTTTGAATGTTGCAGCGTGTTGAAATTAAGATATTTCCAACCTGTTCACCCTGTAACTTTGACGTTAGTGAAAAATATTTATATTCTGAATTTTTAGATATTTTAAAGCAAAAGATGACCCTTTTGTTTACACACAGCACAACAAGCAGTTCAGCTATGGGATATTTCTTATGTAATTCATTAAAAATATTACCAAGATTATAAAATAAATAAGACAAACTATTACATCACGTCAAAATCTAACAAGAGTATCAACAAAGCGATGTTTTTTAAATATTGTTATTTTAATTTTTAGTAATCCAAAACAATAATGTGATAAATAGCTATTTATGATATACGTGTTAAAAGTAAGATTTTATTTTGTGAGTGAAGATGATTAAATAACGAGCGTAGCGAGTTTTTTAACTTCACGAACAAAATAAAATCACTTTTAACACGTATATCATACACTATTTTTTCTACAAAACTGTTAAAATTGGGCTTTTTAATTGTCATTGTTGATGTTAAAAATGTCATTTTTTGACACGCGTGTTAAAAGTAAGTTACTTTTAACACTAGTGTTAAAAGTAACTTACTTTTAACACGCGTGTCAAAAAATGACATTTTTAACATCAAAAATGACAATTAAAAAGCCCACTTTTAACAGTTTTGTAGAAAAAAGATTTTATAGTAAGCGTACTATTTCAGTGGCTAAATGATGGGTAGGATGCGGACATTCTATCGTACGTCTCCATATCCTCCAGATTGAAACCCACTGGATTTTTTTAACCTATTTACACTTGCTTGTTGTTTGTTTGTTTTATTTGATTATCTTTTCTAAAAGACCAAAAATTAAAAAAATACTTTAGTACGTTTTTTCATGTTACTATCATTTTTATTTTTCTTTTACATACCTCTTTTATTCTAATAGAAAAAGTTCTAATATTTAATTCAACAGAATTAAGTTTTCAATTTAGAAAATATTTTATAATATACTTATAACAGTTTAAATCATGACCTAAATAAAAAACAACGTGGTTAATAAATAGGCTAACCATTAAAAGGAAGAAGAAAGCATTTTACTTTCTCATTTCCGCGTCACTTTCACAAGCACAACCTTAACATTGAATGTCAGCAGCGTAACGTAATTTATTATAATTCTACTTTCCAATACTACAATTTGGCTTATTTCCTATAAATCGGTAGATACTAAATACTAATATTTATAGACAACAAAAGGTAATATTAATTTCAATTAAAAAATAAATACAAGGGAATATCTGATAATATAATTATGTTCATTTATATGTATAACAATTATTTGATGTATCACAACAAAAATTATATTTGATTTCTTTCGAAACGTTTTCCCAAACACTGATATTAAAGGCAATAATTAGGAGAGTAAAATTATTTATTTGATAGGTACGTATTTACGTTACCAATCTAATATGATATCGTAAGAATTTTTAAAATGCGACTAAAACCAAAAGTATCCCATAAATTTGGATAAATTATGATGAATTAATAATATGATATGATAAAACTTAGGTCACCGTAAACAAGCGATAACAAGATTGAAAAAGAATTGTTAGCACAGACTGCATTCATTCATATTTTCAATAAGATAAAAATTGTTTCTTAATAGGCCCATTCAGTAGAATATTTTTTTGCATATTCCAAAAGTTTACCCTTTAATTAGTTAGTATGCCAAAAATCAATTTTTTGTTTCAACGAGAAATGTGTGAAATAAATTAATGAAAACAGAGCGCGAAAAACGTTGAGCAACCATTGCCTCACGTCATAATACCGGTACGGGCGACTGGCACAGCACTCCGCTCGCGCTCGCGCTCGCTCTCATCCCATTCTGTGTTAATACATACGGTGTGTGGTTCGCTTGACAGTTTCGTTAATCATTGTTTTTATGTCTAAATGGGTCGAAACCGAGGATTGTACAAATATTATATAGTTCCAGGCTGCAAAAGTACCTCAGGATCGACTCCGAATAAAATATTTATTTCATTGCCGAAA